CGAATCCAAGATCCGATTAGGTATGCCGGATTTTCCCATCAAACGGAAAGGTTTCCGAAGTCCGTGGGCTCAAGCATACATAATAGAAGGGGCTCGACCCTGTACTTCCACCGGATAGGGGAATCAGACCAGTTCCAGGCTCAAGTTCATAAGCACACCCGGCCTTTGGGATGCGCCGCCCGCTCGGGAGCGAAGATTCCTTCCCCTCCTCCACCTGTGGGACTAAGAAGTCCCCCAGGCGCGGCCATTCCCCCCACCCAATCTCCCAGGGCAGGCGCTTTTCCTTCCTTCATTACCTCACTACCTCCTTCCCTTGACGTCAGCCCCGGGTCCTCGATCAGAGGGGGCAGGATGGAGATGCATTTGGGGGCAGTCGGTATCAGGATCCCCGTAGCACCGGGGTGGGGGGGGGGGAGGGGGAGGGGCGGAATATGAGGTAATGCGCGCCCAATCCCCCGCCTCGAAGGCCGAGAGCGGCCACTTCCCTCCCCCCGCTCCACCTTCCAGCCCCGCGCGCGCCGGTGTGTGCACCAGTTACTAGGCAACGCTATCGGAGAAGCGGGATGCCGGCCAAGTTCACCCAAAGTTGAAGAATAAATTTGGGGGAGAGAAGGTGGAGGGTGGAGGGAGAGCCGGGAGAACGCACAAGGGACGGGGAAAAAAGCTTGGAAGGAAAAAAAGCTGGTCTTCTGCCTCCCAGGAACGGGAAGGAGGGCGGGCGCGGGCTGGAGCCGTGTCCCCGGAGGACGCTGCTGCGACCCGACCGCAGCCCGGCACACAGTCCGGGTCCGGTCCCTGCCCGGAGCCTGGAGCTGGGAACCACGCCCACCGAGCGCCGCCGCAGCGGGACACTCTGGGGCACAGGGGTAGGGAGAAGGCTGCGGTCAGAGTGTACGCGCCCTCGAATTACCCCCAGAGAAGGCCGGCCCGTGTGGCTAGTGGGCGAGGAGGGGGCTGAGACGGGAGAAGACCGGAGTGCGAGTCGAGTCCATGTTTAATCTTTGGTCGCGAGCGAGTTCAAGTCCTTTAAAAAGGACTTTAAAAAATAAGGAGCCCTTTAAAAAATAACTTCTTGAAGCCCCACTCTTCAGCTCAAACAGTAATCGCCCTCATTTATATTAAAAAAAAAAACAAAAAACAAAACAACCAAGAACACCAGGAGACGAGGAAACCTACTTCTTTCAAATCAGAGCCTGGAGATCTGCTTTAATTTGCTTTAAGTAGCTAAAGGTGTCCTTTGCCTCCAGGACCCTGCTTGCCCGCGGTCGGGGCTGCCCGCGTCGGACGTTCCCGCTCCCGCCGGCTCGCGCGCCCCAGACACCGTGGCGAGCGCCTTCCTACCTGCTGTAGGGCGTCCTCAGCAGAAGGGCCTGGCTGCCAGTGCAGCTGTCGGTGGGGGTGTGGCAGCCATAGACGGGGGGCGGCACAGAGTACTGCTGCTCGCCTGCGGAGAGCCGAGGAGAGCGGGGTGAGCGCGCCCCAAGGGCTCGGGGTGGGAGTGGGGACGCGCGGGGCGAGGCCGAGGGCAGGGGCTGGGACAGAGAGCATCCCCAGCTAGTCTCCTCGGCTAAACTGGGGGCAAGGGGTCTGGATGCCAGCGCGTGCCGAGAGAGGGCGTGCAGATCGTAAGGAGCTAATCAGCTTCTCACTGCACAGTCCTTTATTAGCCACTTCGTAGAACACGTAGACATATTCGTAGGCTTGTTTGAGTGGAGCTGTCCCTAACATACTTGGGGGGGGGGAGCGGGACAAAACTCAATCTTTTCTTTTAAATTGAGTGAGATTGGGCTGATTATTTCTAAAAATCCCTTTAGATGTCCTCTTCTCCCTTTCCCGATTTGCTGTGGTTTGGAAATTATGGGGACGGGAGTGGCATGGAAGAAAGAGAGAAGGACCCCACCTCATTCCCGCCTGCTTACCCAGAGAGCCCTGCTGGCCCATGGGGTCCTCGTGCTTGAAAGAGTGGTTAGGGAACTGCGCCGCGTGGTGCGAGGGCGTGTGACCGTAGCTGGGCGTCCCGTCGAAGGTGACTGTGCTGTATCCTGCGAGCGCGGCGGAGAGAAGCACAGCGTCAGGGGTGAGACTGGGTCGGTGATTCTGAAGCAGAACCAGGGTAGAGAAGCGCCTGGCCCCCGTACTCGAAACCCCAGCATAGGGTGATGCCACCCCACCGGTCTCCAGAACTTTCGGCGGGGAGCCTGGTCCAAGCCCAAATGTGTGACCTCGGAGCGGCTCCCCGCCTTTTCTCAAGAAAAACTCTGACCTCCCCGCCTTTTCCAATTCATTTACGCCCTTGTCTTCTTCCACCTTGCCTTCTGCTTCTGAGTCGAACCTCGGGCAAGTGAAGTATGAAAACCGCCAACCGCTCGCCAGAGAAAGTTCTTCTTCAAAAACAAACACCGCGGCTCTTGCTCCGGGGCAGCGCGGGCGAGCGAAATGAATCTGTTCGGCTGACCCCGAGCTGACTCGGAGCCGTAAATCAGGGGACCGCGCACCAACTTTCATTAATTACTCGGAGCCAGTTAAACGGCATGGGCTTTAAATGGGAAGAGTAATTACCGAGTAATGTTATCTGAAGCTGCGCGACCCTACACCACGACACCCACGGCCCTCAGGAAAGCTGGTGAGGCCCTTCCAGATGGCCCCGCCGGCCTCGGTCCTATGCCCTCCTCCTTACCCCCTCGGACCCAACTCGCACCCAGTGCGTCCCTAACTCTACCACTGTGGGGGCCACGTTCCTTGCGCTCCAGGCGGGGAAGGGCGCTTGTTTTAGAATGTGCCGGACTGTACCTCCGTTTCCCTTCATGGCAGTGCCCAGGCCCCCTGCTAGTTTCCCTGCGGAAAAACTAAGGGCAACTGTGTTCTTCCCCAACTCCCCGAAGGCTGGGTTAAAAAAAAAAAAAAGTCTTGATTAGTGTCTTGATTGAAAAATGTAATCTCTTTCTGTAATTGTTATTAAATTGCTTTAAATCTATTCCTCACCAGCTTTTGGGAAACTGTTGCCATCTCTGGGGAAAAAGCATCCTCCAGCTAAGATAAAGATCAGTCCTGGAACCCTGAACAGACTGACTAGTGGGATTCCCTCCTTCTATACACGCAGTCCCCAAGAGTCTCAGGACTGAGGGTCCAGGACAGGAGGTGAATGAGATCTGCCCTGATGCTCACACAGCCTTCATGCAGGGCCACAGTGCCAGCCCACCCCCACCCAGTCCCTGCACTGGATCTCCAAACTCCATTCAATTTTGGGGGAGTGGGTGGGTGAAAAGGCCCCTCACCCCCTACTCTTGCCCCAGGCGTGACAGAGGCTCTGTGACAAGTGTCTGTGAAGACTTAGAATGGAAAAAGGAAGGAGACCATTACCCCAATCTTTGAAACATAACCCCCAAAGAAAAACAAAAACCCAGCCTCTCCTACCCACACTGGGCAGTGTTACGTGTTGGAGTGGAGTGGGGAAGAGGGTGGGTACAGGTCCCAATTACTGGATTGTACTAGGCAGGCCAAGTCTCGCACACTGCTTGGTGCCACAAGTTGACAACTTAAGAAGCTTTCATAATTTGCATGACCCCAGAGTCCTCAATCTATTGCCTGCTAAGTAGGCAAAGATAACCCCCCGCCCCATTAGCTGTCAGGGCTGGGTGAGAACCTTGGGCCTCCTTTTGGGAGCAAAGGCACAGCCCTGATTGAGGCCTGTCAGCTTACGAACGAAATTTGGCTCTCAGTGCCACATTTTGCAGAAAAAAGGCCGAATTTTGAAAGAAATTTTTTTAACCAGGAGAAACAGAAGCCGCAAAGAAATTGTCCCTAGACAAACCCTTCTCCATTTCTGAACTGATGAGTAGAAGCTGTGGCCCAGGGCACGGTGCTGTTCTTGAAGGCGGGCTCCGCCAACTGTGGGATTGCAGGCTGCAGTTCCCGCACCCGCCGCGTCGGCTCCGCGTCCAGCGAGGTTCCCAAGGCCCCCCACCTTACAGGACACGAAGACCCGGGGACAAAGGCCAGCCTCCACCCCCCTCCCTCAAGACCCCCCCCCCCCGGAGGGGCCGAGGCGAAAGCGTCAGCGGAGGGGAGGGAGGGCTCTTTTAATTAGAAGCTTATCCGACGCGGGACTGATTAGATCGCGCTGTCCTGGGGCCTCGTGCTGGTCTAGGCGCTGAGAGCATGGGGGCGGGGACCTAGGGGGGGGACAGTTGTTGGCGAAAAGAGCAGCGTATTCAAAGGCTCCTTGTACGTGCCCGAGAGGGAGAGGCTCTAATCGGCCAAGGTAGCGCTTTTCCCATGGTTAGTCCGTGCTGGGGAATGGAGTGCAACCTTGACCGCAAGGAGAGGCGAGACACGCTCTGCGCGTCTTTTCCCCGCTCGAGGCATTGGAGGAACCCAGGAACCGCCTGGCCGCCGGGCCTCCTGAGAGCTGACGGGTAGAATGGAGGCTCAGTTAGGAAGGGGGTCAGAAGGCTGGAAATGATGACTCCACAGCTGTGGCAGAATAGGGGAAAATCTGTCCCCCAACGAAATACTCAAGTGACTCAAAGAGAAGTGCCCTTGGCCCTTCTCTAGAGCTGGTCTCTGCACTGACCCTAGGGTGGCTTGGTGATGCCCCCTGCGCATTAAGTCTGAGACTACCCCAGTCCTCACTCCACTACTGACTGCCCTTACAAACCATGAGCCCTCACGCCCAGACCACTATTAATTAGTTCAGTGCCCATCCAACGGAGCAAAGGAAATCCATCTCAACAGAGCGGCCAAGATCCCTGGAAAAGGAGGTAGAAGTAACCTAATATGGTCTGGTTCGAGTCCCAGCTCTGCCACAGAGGGACCTCTTGCACACATAACCTCTTAGATCCTAGATTTTGTCATCCAGAAATAAGCAACTTCTCCATCAGGCTGTGAGATATTTAAAAGATGCACTCTGTCTTAATACTTCCCAGTGCCTTGCACAGAGTAGAGGCTCAACAAATGTTTGCCGAGTTAATGTTTATGATATTAGGAAACCACCTATACTATTTAAGAAATTATAAAAAAAATGGGGAGGTGATGGTATGATCCCTTGGAGGGGGGGGCGGGAGAGGGTGCCAATTGTCCTCTCGTGTGGGCCACGGCAAGGCTGCCTTGCCTAGGAACGGGGATTCAGAGTCGTGACTCCTCTCTGCTGGAGTTTGGCCTGGGTCTGCTGATGGCCATTCCCATACTTTAGGGAAGGAGCTGATGCCCCTGATTCTCCCAACACACACACACACCGCTAGGCCCTGCATTCCTGGGGGGAGCCACAGGAACACTAGAAATCAAGAGGATAAATCTAGAATCTCAGGGTTCCCGAGGCCAGGGCTGAGCAGCTTCTGACATTCCCACCCCACCTCCCAGCTGCCCAGTAAGTCCCAACAGCCAGGCAAGCATGACCCGTTTTACATTTTCAATGCAAGAAAAACCTAAATTCACAGACAGGAACCTCCTTACAGGTTGTGGTACATGTCTGGGGCTGGCTCTCCACTGGGTTTTCCCAGAGTCGAGAAGAGAACTCCACCTGCCAATCCTGGTCCCAACTCCCAAGACTTTTATCTCTTCAGCGGCTGGGCCTACCTACTAGACAGGAATTCAGACGTTTCCCTGAAATGTAGTGCCTGCTGGCTAAGAAGCCCACAGTCTCACCGCCCCCCAACCCTATGCTAACCTGATGGGATCCCAGGCACCAGACCTGCCTATAGAAGGGGTCCAAACAAAGTGAGAGAGCCCTGGTTCCAAAAGTCATCACAGAATCTGGATGAACTCAAATAAATAACAGCATGGTAGTATTTTGAGCCCCAGAAATAGACCAAATGGCTTCTCAGACTCTGCAAAGAGCACACATCCACACACAGACTCACATCACACCCCTGCCTGCCAGTCTTGTGGGTTTCTGGTCCAGTCAATTTTAGGTGGTCTCCTGCCTTCTGAATTTAGAACCCCAAGTCAGAGGAAAGTTGGATTTCTGCTCCAGTGGCACAGAACTTCAGGTGAGGCCCAGCCCCCAAGTTGCCCATTTCAGCTTTCCTCTTACAGATGGGGAAACTGAGACCTGGAGATTTGCAAACTGTAACAACCTGCTAATTAGAGGTGACACGATCAGAGAACACAAGCCTCTGAGTCGACACCGACTTGTTCCAACATCCCTTGGGGCGAATCAAGAACTTCACTTAGAAAGACCTTGAGTGGAGGGGCCCCCGTGAGCCTGCCTGCGGTTGCTCCTCAAAACACAGATCCCAGATTCCCTGAACGAAGAGGGGAAAACGGTTTCGATTTCACCAGGGCTTCTGGTGAGCCAGGTGCTCCAGGCTGGGTTAAGTTAGGAACCGCCTGAAGATAACTCCTTTAGAAGTTGCAGGAATCTTCGGGAAGCATAGAGCCCTTCAGTGCCTTGGAAGCCCTGGCACCTCTTGCAAACTGTCCACGCTCTACTTCTCCCATCCCACGCATTCCAGAAGCATCCCAGTCCCTAAGCTAGCGGGAAATTTTGTTCCAGCAAAACCCCCCCGCCATTGAATTCGCAAGGCGTTTCCTAAAATAGTGAATCAACTCAAATTTATACAGTTTCTCACACAGCACAGAAGTCCAATTAGGATAAATTTGTAAAACAAACTACAGGGGCTCTGCACGATTTGTTCCAGCTAGTTCCTGAGGGGAGTAGGTGTGCGGTCGCCAGAGAGGGATGAGAAAACTATTGGCTGTGTCCCTATGTGTACACCGACTGAAGTGGGCAAGTAAATTGTTCTTGTTCTAACTCCCATGCTTTGCAAAAATCTTTCCTCATCTGAGCCCCGAGTTTAATGACAAGAAGGAGGCAAGGCGCGCTGAAAGGAGGGCCTGTGCTTGGGCCCTACGGTAGGGAGGACCCGGTCCCACACAGCTTGGAATAGGATAAACAGAGTTCTCTTCCAGCCCTGGAGCCCTCATGGACGCCGCCTGAGCTGGACGCCAGTAGACATCCGCTTCTTATACTACTACCATAGGGACACGGTTCCAGGAAAGCCACTGTTTACATGCTAGCGGGTTCCTTGCCTCGTTCTTTGCTCCGTGATACTTATCACACGTCTAATGCGTGCCATCGCCGTATTAGGGGCTGGAGCGGCTCCTGACATTTTGGCTCAGGGTGGGAACACCGGCTGCACACCCGGTGCTGGTCCCTCGATTTAAAAGCTAAAAAGGTCCAGTGCCTCCTAACAGTTTGGTGGTGCCTTGAACCACAAAACACCTTCCTGAGACAGCGCCAGACACCACACCCATTCCCCCTTCCCACTCCCACAGAGACTCTAAGTCCCGGAATCTCCCGGGGTGCAAGGGGCTCCAGATGACCCCCGGGCTGTCGAGAACCAGTCCGGCTCCTGGTTCAGGAGGCCGTCGGGGGCCTATGCCGGCACATACTCCCTCTCCCTCTCCCGGGCCTCCTCTCCCTTAGCCGCTGCTTCCGCTATCCACACAGTCCTTGGGGAGGCAGCCGGGTAAGCGCTGGGGTCACGGAAGGGGTAGGACAGGGGAGTGCCAGCGCGGGACGGTAGCCCCGGCGCCACCACCCCGCGTATAGGGGGCGCTCCCCGGCCTGCTTACCCTGGTTGCGAATAGCCGGCTGGCTCTCGAGGCAGCTGGGCAGGTAGGGCGCATTGGGGAACATCCTGGCCTGGCTGGAGGACGCCTGGCTGGGCGGAGGAGGACCGAAGGGCCCGTAGCGACAAGCTCCAGCTGTGCCGGTGAACTGGCCGGAGAAATGCACGGTGAAGGCGCTCAAGCACTGCTCCTCATGCGGCTCCGCGCCGCCCCAGCTCGGCTCTTGTTTGATGAAGGAGTGAGGCGGCGGCGGCGGCGGCGGGGGTGGCGGCGGCGCCGGCGGCGGCGCGGGTCCGCCCAAGGAACCGTAAGCCGAGGCGCCCGGGGGTGCAAAATCCAGCACTGGCGCCCACTGCGCGGCGCCGCTCACGGGCAGGGCGCAGCCACCCCCGCCACCCAGCGAGGGTACCGCTGGCAGCAGTGCATTCAGGTCCCGCACGTCAGAGCCCATTTGCTGCGGCTCAGCCCCGGACGCCCCGCCGCTCCTTCGGCCTTGCAGATGCTGGGCACTGGACTCGGCCGCTCCTAACTTGCCCCAGATGCCACCCGGGCCCCGGAGCCCCGGCTGTTCGGGCTGCGGAAAGCACCCTGGCCCGGAGCGGAGCGAGTGAGAAGACGCCGGCTCCGGGGCACACGTGGAAGCCGGTTCCTGCGGCAGAAGGAAGTCCAGGATCGCGGCAAGGAGGCAGCGGGGCCCCGGCTCCTGGGCTGCCGTCCCGGCTCTGGGTGGGTGGGTGACTGAATGAGTGGGAGGGAGGGCGGGAAAGGGGGAGCGGACTGGCGGTCGGGTTGCGGAGAGCCCCCGGGTGTGGGCGCTGCCTTGAACTCCTTACCCCAGCTGCCTGGCTGCCCCCAGCTTCCCAAAGCTCAAATAAGAGGGGCCGGCGGCGGGGGAGGAGGAGGAGCCAGGAGCCTCGGCAGTTCCATTCACACCGCAGCCCAGGCCTGGCCGGGCGGCGCGCGCGGATCGGCGGGGGCGCCCTCGCGGCGGGGGTGGGGGCGGGACTGAGGGAGCCTACCTCTAGGAAACACCCTCCTCTCCTACCCGCCACGCGCTCCCAGCTGGCCTGTGGGACACAGCCCTCCCCCCACCTCCCCTTCTCGGCCTTCTCAAGTGTGGGCGCCTCTGGGTATGGTTCACCGGTCTTCCGATCTCCAACCCCAGTCAACCGTGTGGGGGGGGGGGGGGGCGGGATGGGGTTGTTAATGTGAGAGGGCGGGCTCAAGGGAGGGGCAGGTGAGCTCCCAGACGGCGGGAACTTCAGGAAAGCACGGAAAACTTTCCCGGGTTTCAGAGAAGCGAATTCCTTCGTTCTGCGCCCGCAAGCCTGGCTCTTGCTTCGTTTCTAGAGCCGCCGGGCAGGAGTGGTGGCCGTAATCTCAGGTTCACTGGGGTGGGGGTGACACCTTGTGGGTTCCAGAGGCCAGACTCAAGGTGAACGTGGGTGACTTGGGGGGCGGGGTGCATCAGCTGTGATAAACGGCATGTTTCGATCGTTTGGTAGTTGGTTAACTTGGTGACATTTGCGCCCACAGGAGGGCAGTTGCCGCCTGCCTAAAAATGGGTGCCAGCGGCACTTAATCTTCCTTTCCAGTGAACAGCGGCTAGTCTGGGAGGGAAGAATACCCTTAGGGAAACACCCAGAGCCTGCACATATTCTGACTGGAGAATCTCAGAGCCTGTTTTGGAGGGTGAGGGGTGGGAAGGATTCGAAGACAAGCACGCGGGGAGAGGTTGGATCCTAGAGTTAATCCCACCTAGCTCGGCCTCTGCTCACGGTCAAGAGTACCATTCTGGATAAGCAGTAACTGATAAGAAGGCGCAAACCGGCTAGGAGGACCACGAAGGAAAGCACACAATGGCCCACAGTCGGTGGCAGCGTTCGCGTAGTTTGGAGCTCTGAGATCCGGGCATCGCCGCAACAGACTCCTCCCTCCAACTAGTCACTCTTTGGGAGCCCCGCGCCTCAGGGCAGGTGTTTGGGGTTTTGTTTTTTTTTGTTTTTTTTTTTTGTTTTTTTTTTTTTTTGTTTTCCAGAACAGTCAGGATTTAAGGGGATGCAGACCCTAAGCAAGGAGAAGCGCTGGGAACCCGGGTTGGAGTGCGTTTCGGGGCACGTGGAAAAGCCCGGGAGAGGCTGGGGGTAGCGGCGACGGCGCAACCTGGAACCGCCTGGAGCGCGGGCGGGCAGCGGCCGGTTGCCGCCAGGCCTCTTATTCCAGGCTGGCCGCGGATGGGGCCCGCAGCTCCAGCGAAGCGACAACCAAGGTAGCCGCAGAACGGCAAAGAAACAGAACGTTTTAAAAAGCTTTGACTTACTCTCCATTTCTTGCTCTTTGCTTTTAATCTGCACTGAGTAAAACGAAGGAAGTGGGAGTTGCGTTAGCACGCTCGGGGCCCACACGCCAAACAAAATTCCCTCCTCTTGGGGTCGCTAGTCCTAGAGGCACAGGAGACGGTGAGGGCAAAGGTCGGGCACAGGCGCTACCGGGTTGTTCCCCAGGCCACCTACGAGGTACTGCACCCCTCTCTGCGCTACTTTGGTGCTTGACTGTGCTTGTTTCCACTCAGAAGCTTTATATATTTTTAAAGAAATGAAAAGGCTCTGGAGACCATCTCTTCCTCCCCCTACACTCTGTGGATTGTCCACCACGCTCCCACAAGTGCTATCTCTAAACCTGCAGCCAGGCTGAGGGCTAGGCAGAGGGCAAGGACGTTTGGTCCTCTTGGTGCAGAAAGGCCCCGCGAGACGAAACTTCTCAGGCCATTTTGCCCTTAGAATGCCCCAGACCCCTGTCTCATACTTCCCACTTTTATTTCTACTTCGAAGGAATTTTTCTCAACTAGGACTCACTCAGGCGCCACGAGGGAAGGAAAGCCCTTTATGAAAAGTCAGGGATTTTCATTTGCAAACGAAAAGATCCAGGTTGTTTCTCTTTCACCCAACATTGCAAAGTTTTTTGGTGGGTATTTGGGGGGGAGGTGGTTTGAACGGGAGATTTTGTGGTTTTGAATCCCAGATAGGGCAGAAGTGCTTAATTCCCTGCCTTTATGTTTTACAGAAGAAGTTCACCGGTGGGGTGGGGTGGAGAGGAAAGGGTGGGGGGCGAGAAAATTTAGGACTCTTCTCTCCACCGCCATTTGTTGTCTGAGAATCCTAGAGGGAGAGAGGAACCGTAGTGCGATCCCCGCTTCAATCCTGGGGTGCCTCCTCACCCCGATTTAGTAGTCCGAAGGAGTGGGAGGAGTTCCCTGCAACCCGTGGGGTCAAGAAGTAAGTGCTGTGCGTCCGGAGCCGCTCGAAGTCGGAGGGCCTCACCCCAGAGGGCCTCACTCGAATGCCCCCTGCCCATCCCCACGCCCGGAAGCCCTGGAGCGCCTGAGCCACCTCCGGGGAACCAGCCAACTGAGGTCCCACTTCCTCCGTTGGGTAAGGTTCTCTGCGGGAGCTCGGCGGTTAACCGCGCAGCCGCGCCCGCTACGCTGGCCTCGGCACCCTGAGCCTGCCGGAGGGAGAGACAGACAGTCTGGCCACGAGGAAGGTCCACTCTGTAGTCCGCCCCCGCATGTAGGCGCTGTCCTGCACCTCCGGAGCTCGAGGCCCAAGGAAATGAGGGCTGCGTAGACCTGGCCGCGCACTTCTCTCATCCACGTTCCCACTCAACGTCAGCGCTGAGACCTGTGGCACAGAGGAGCTGGTCTGAATCACCGTTTGGCAGAGATGGAAGTTCAACTCCCCGTCTACAGAGAAGTAAACTGAGGCCCAGGCAGCGGAGGAAAGGCAGCTGTGGAGCTCAGTGGTTAAGAGCGAGGAACTGGTGGTCGGAGAACGGAACCTCAGGTCCACCAGGTAACAGCTGTGTAACCCTGGATGAGTTCCATAGCCTCTCTGAGGCTTAGTTTTCTTATTGATCAAAGGGGATAGTGGAATCCTAGCGTCCACCTCATGGGGTCATAAGGATTAGACAGGAGGATAGTGTTGGTTTATGCGTTCAATAAACGTTACAATTTTGTCACTATTCTTGTTTAAGGATGCGTAGCAAGATAGTGGCGAAGCCGAGCTGAAACCCAGGTCGCTCAACGTCTAGCTCGGGGCTTCACCCTCACGACCCCTCTGCCTTCCTAGAGCAAATGGAATGAGCAAAGAAAGGAGGGGGAGAGAGAAGCTGACAATCCATATGGCTTTGGTACGTTGGTAAAACGCATCCTGGCCTGGAAAGTGCTTAATTATTGCAAGATCAAAAAAATCGCTGCTGAGTGGGAGGGGGTACTGAGGACCTCTAAACCCCCCACTTTGACCTCGGCTCTGACCAAGAGCCGGGCCCGGCGGAGCAGCCGCGGCCCCAGGGGGCAGCGCATACTCCCAGGCTGCGCTCCGGGCGTCACCCCGCGGCCGCCGACAACTGAATAAACACACCGAAGCACTGCGATCTGTCAAGGGTTGGGGCCGCAGACGCCGAAGAGGAGTGGCTCGACCGCCAGCCGCCCCGAGGAACTGGCGCTGGGTTAGCACCTCGCGCAGGAGCTAGAGCCGGGAGCTCCGAGCGCAGGACGGGCAGCCTACCGGCTGCTCCTCTCCACCCTGAAGACTCCCAACTCTTAGGTATCTGCTTACCCCCGGCCTCCCGGCAGGCGCTTAAGCCCGTTTCCAGCCCGGTGCTGGCGGTAGAAACCCCAGCTTCATTTCTTTAAATTAAAAAAAAAAAAAGTCAAGGAGGGACTTTTGTCGGAGTCCACCTTCCCCTTGCCCTCCACCCTGGTTTCCTCTGCTCCTTTGAAAAAATAACCCGATGTTTTTGAACAACCACTCGTCTACAGTTCAGACTCCGTTCTCTGACCCAGTTTGGGGTTCAGGACCGGCGAGAACCACGACCTGGGCCTTGCAAAAATATCCCCTCTCCCCCAGCGTGCAGTTCTTGGAATCGCCAGTTACCCGTCTGTTCTGATGCCACCGCGAGATGATGGTCCCCAAGCTCCCAGAGTCCCCATTGGAAGGATTCCGCAGCGCTGCCTCTATTATTATACCGTAAATCTTTTTAAATTCTGGAACTAATTATATAGAGGATATGTCTCAATTTGTTCTGCATTAATGCCACAGTGGGGATGGAGGCCGGGCCGTGGCCAGAGCAGATACGTAGGCCCATGAAATTGATGAACTGAGAGTTGCTCCAGTCCTCAGCGCACCATCTGGAATTCTAGTCTGAGGTTACAATTAGAACTCCTGACCCCAGATTCAACTTTGCAAACAACAGGGGAAAAAAGGGGGAAAAGAAAAAAAAAAAAAACCAACTTATTCTGCACCTGTAAAAAAAAAAAAAAAAATCTCCACACAATCTTAAAATCTTCCCAGCTTAGAAGATTCTTTCCAAGTATTCTTTTGTGTTTTTTTTAACCTATAAAAGATAATGGAATATATTTTATAGACTGGATTTTATCTTATCCTTTTCCCTCTCCCGGCTGCACTCAGTTTAATAGTTGTCAGGGCTTTTTTTCCCCCGTGTTTTTCCTAAGTGTTGGATTTAATTATATGGGACCAAAATATATACCTCAGTAAATTAGCTTGCTAAATATTCTGTCATTTTGTGATTCTGCCTTTGAGAAGCAGCTTAATTACAGAAATCTATCTGGATCTAGGAACTTGACTTGCTCCAGCTAAACTGTAATCAGAGATTTTATTTGCGTTTAATTTTATTTGTGTTCTAAATCGGTTAGGCCAATTTCTTCCTTCTTTCTTTAGTAACATGCTGCTTTATTTTCCTCTCGCTTTGACCCTCTGAAGAAAATGAAGGACCAGGCAGTACTGGGGAATCTGTTAAATTTATTAGCATAAATGCTTAGACAAAATGAGATATAAATCATTCAGATGTATTAAGCCATAAAGTATCCCAATGAAGTCAGTGCCTCACAAGGGTCCTGGTGTATAAATGTTCATATAAAACAAAGTATCAGTATTATCTTTCTAACTGAATATATGCCGTAAAAATATCCAAATGTTGAGTAAGGAATATGGGGGCAATGGCAGGGCAGGAAGGGTATGTTCTTCAGAGCAGCCTGGTAGCGCTGTGGTGGCTCGAAAAGTGAGGCAGAAAGGAAGAAATCTCCACAGTCTGCATTAGTAATGCTCAGTCGACAGTTTTTGAAAAAAGGTATGCAGGATAGATTTGAAGAGAAGACAAGAAATAAGGAAAGAAGAGATGAACAGAGAGCAAAACATTGCTATCTGTAGAATGCTTCCCCACCCCACCCCCAAAGGTCAATTTAGCTTTAAAAAAAATCTACTCAGAAAAGGCACTGACTCTTCATACAGATAACGGATGAGCCATTAGTGAAGAGCCACCTGGGCCTTCGTCTGTGAACCCGGATATGTAGCTGGTCGGCAGGAGAAGGATGTGTATTCACTAGAGGTGGACTGGGAGAAGAGGGGTGGAGGGGTGAGGAAGGGGAGTTGTCAGAATTCCTAGCAGAGGTTTACCAAGACAAAAAAAATCTGACAATGTTTAAGGAGCAATGGCTTGCAAAGCTCATAATCACAGCTCTCTGTAAATTTTGGCAAACCAAGGCTTTCTTTGCCTTTTAGAAATGATTGTTCCAAAGCTTTCTCTCTCTCTCTCTCTCTCTCTCTCTCTCTCTCAATCTCTCTCTCTCTCTCTCCCTAATCAAGGAGTTTACCAGAGAAAGGGAATAGTCCCCCTTTTTTCAGCAGGGACATCTCAGCTTTTGCGTGCTATCAGTTCATTCACTATGGGGCAAACTATTTACTGGCACTTCCGTTGTGCCAAGCATTGTGGCAGGGACCGGAAAGACAGGAGTAAGAGGACAGGCTCTACTCTGCTCACACAGAGGTTACATTCCGGTAGGGATGACAGAAAAATTACACGCAAACAAGGCAGATGCTTTCAGATAGGGATAACTGCTACGAAGGAACAAGGAGATTTTCTAGACTAGAGGACTAAAAGTAAGACAGGGATGGGAACAAATATACTCCCGCTTCTTCCCATCTTTTACCTGCACTGCCCTATCTTAATGTGTTTGTTAGTATCCTACCTTACTGTCGAGGGGCAAGAAGGGCTTGAAGGATTTGGAATGTTTGCTCTGGACAGATATCTGCCTATCAGAGGGCTGGACTTATGGAATCAGGAGGGTGGCAGTTTCTATAGGGCTGGATTAAAATCACCACCACCAGCTGAGTGTGAAAGTTACCTGTGCAACACTCCATTTTCTCCTCTTCAAGATAAAAACAACAGCACCTATTCAAGTTGAGAGAACTGGATGAGGAAAGGCATGTAAATTTCCTAGTTCATGGAGAGCACTCTATAAATGGTGACTGTTACTTGTATTCATATAGACTCTGTTTTCCTTTGCTGCTAATTAGTTGATAAGTTCTACACTTAGTATCAATATTGGTGTGGGTTAAGAAAATCTGCACTGTTGTTGGATCAGGGAGAAGGGCAGGAAGAGAAGCCCTTTGCCAACAAGTCTGACCTTAAGCAAAGTGGTTGCCACCTTAAAGTGAATCGAAATCATTCTGTCCTACAGCCAGGCCTGAAAAGGAAATATATGGCTTCTGCTTCAAAATCAAGCTTAGGTTCTTTCCTTTCGGTACAGAAGGCTATATAGGTCAGCATCAGCTTGAAAAGTTTAGGATTGTACTGTTCCTTACAGCCACATTTCAGATATGCAGTGTGGTCCAGAATAAAGAATCCTGGGCTAGGTATAAAATTACCTTGGCTTGGGGTGCCTGGGTGGCTCCATTGGTTGAACATCTGACTCTTGATTTCCTCTCAGGTCATGATCCCAGGGTCGTGGGATTGAGCCCTGTGTAGGGCTCCATGCTGAGTGTGGAACCTGCTTAGGATTCTCTCTTTCTTTCCTTCTGCCTCTCTCTCAAATTAAAAACAAACAAACAAACACCTGGGCTCAAATCCTGTTTCTGCCAATAACCCAATGGCCATGGCCTTGGGGAAATAGCTTAAGCTCTTGATTTTTTCAATATCCTTATCTGTAAAATGAGGATGATCTTAAGAATGAAATAAAGCAAACAGAGTGATTTAAAAACTGCAAAATGCTAAGCAACACACACAGAGAAACATCAAGACCACTTGTAACATGGGAACTAACCAGGGCAAGAAATGCTACAGGGCGCTGGAGAGTATATCACTTTCTCTCCTGTTTCTCTGTTTGTAAAGTGGTCATAGTACCTTTCTCACAGGACTGTTGCAAGAATTAAATGAGACATATGTAACTACCTGGCATAGAGTGCTTGCTACCTAAATGCTGCTGTTACTATTATTGTTATCTTTCTCTGGCCACTCTCCTTGCTCCCAGAGCTGAGCTTTACATTTTCACACTGATAGTTTTTTCTACTGTGGCAGTATGAAATAGTATAAAGAGCAGGGCTTAGAGATCAGATGGCTCTGATCGTCTCTTTATTCTTTGTTGTCCCTGAGGCTTAGGGTTCATAACTGTAAAAATGGAGCTAATGATACATTCATTTCACAGAGCTGTTTTGAGAACAGATTAACACAATGCTTGTCAAGTGCCTGCATGGTGCTTGGCATGTAGTCAGAAATCAATAAATGGTAGTTCTTAAATTTTCAGTTTGTTTAATCAGAGAATATTAATTTACTTCAAAAAACAGATCAGCCACCAAGAACTTGAATTACAGCATGATTCTGAGCACACACAGAAAAAAAGTCCCATCTTCTTTTAAATTCACCTGTACCACATTGAAATCTCACTCCACATAGGAAAGACTTTGCAGTCAAGGCCTTGGCAATGACTTTCCTTTTTGACTATGAGTCCTTTAGGTAATAAGTTAGAATCCCATTTATTTTCTCTGAGTTTCTTTGC